AAAAAAAAAAAAAAGTCGGATGCTTAACCAACGGAGTCACCCAGGTACCCTAAAACTTTATTTTTTCTAAAACTTTAATTTTAATTAAAATTAAAAACTGAAATGGTTTTGTCAGTGTGGATATGAATATTAAAAGAGTTTTATTGGTACTTTATTCAGTTATTGGAAAGCTTTTAAGTGTATAGGGAACAGATTGGTACATGAATCTACATTTGCACCTGTAAATTTCATAGAGTCTAAATAGAGATCAAGTATTACTGATGAACACTTGGCATACAAATTGAAATGTCGTAAGTATAAAATACACACTGGATTTCAAAAACTCATAAGCATTTCAGTCTACTAAACAGTGTCTCCTGAGAGACAGAGAAAGAACTGGCAGCAGGGTTGGGGCTACATGTAACACTTCGGGCCACAGAGCTAGACTGCTGATTCTCAGGAGTGACCAACTATTTCCTGCCATTTTTCTTAACTGTGGACAGGGGCTGCAAACTGACAAGGGGTTAAATTCACGTGGCAAAATGTTTTATTTTGCATGTGCAAGTTGTTTAAAATTTTAAATTTGATTGTCTTTCAGCTCACTCCAATCAGAGAAAATGATGGGTTTAGACAATAATCACAAAGAGACAACCAAAACCACAGGCCTCTTGAAAACCACCCATGAAGTGTTCTTGCTCCCCAGCTCCTCCAAGTGAACCTGCATCTACTCAAGCCCCCATCCAATTTATCATATTAGGAATTTGGGGTGCTTGGGTGGCTCAGTCGGTTAAGCGTCTGACTCTTGGTTTCAGCTCAGATCATGATCTCACAGTTCGTGAGTTCGAGTCCCACATCGGGCTCTGTGCTGACCGTATGGAGCCTGCTTGTGATTCTCTCTCTCCCTCCCTCTCTGCCCCTCTTGCTCACTCACTCTGTCTCTGAAAATAAATAATTAAAAAAAAAAAACTTTAAAAAAAGATGTATGAGGAATTCATAAGAAGTATCAGATACAGAAAAACATATTAAATGTCATGGAGAATGCCATCAGAAAACCAAGGCCCAGAAAAATTCTATAGGTCAAAGAACATGTTCTTCATGTAAGAAACAAGAAAGAGACAAAGAATGGAGGAGCTATCTATTAAAAAAATAAAAAAATTTAAACAAAGACTGGACGAGGGGTGCCTGGGTGGCTCAGTCGGTGAAGCATCCAACTTCAGCTCAGGTCATCATCTCACAGCTCATGAGCTGGGAGCCCTGCAATCAGGCTCTGTGCTAACAGCTCAGAACCTGGAACCTGACTCGGATTCTGTGTCTCCCTCTCTCTCTCCACCCCTTCCCTGCTCACGCTCTCTCTCCTTCAAAATAAACACTAAAAAAAAAAAATTGTTTTTAAACATAAAAAACAAGAAAGAGACAAAGAATAAA